GCTGGTGCTGCCGTGGCCCCTGCTGAGCTGCACTCTGTGCTGTTGCAGGTGATGGGCATGGTCCGTGTCCCCCTCTACACCCAGAAGGACCGCATGGGTGGGCTGCCCAACTTCCTGGGCAACTCCTTCGTTGGAACCGCCAAATTCCAGCTGCTCTTTGCCCTGAAGATCTTGAACATGGTGCCAGAGGAGAAGCTGGCCGAGGCTGTGGCTGCCACGCAGAAGCCGAAGAAGCCGGCCATCGACCAGGCAGCAGGGGTGACAGGAAACCTGCCTGCTGCTAAGCCGGCGAATGAGCTGGCGGTGCCCGCTAAAACAGGCAACGAATTGGCAGATAGGGCAGACAACCAGGCAGCTGTGCAGGCAGCAGTCGAGGCAGCAGAGCAGCCGGTGGCTGGGCTGGAGAGCGGGGCCATAGTGGAGCAGCTGGCGCCTGTGCCAGCAGCCGAGGTGGTGGAGCAGCCGGCGGGGCTGGGGGCCGATGCTGTGGTGGAGCAGCCGGTGGCTGAGCCGATGGAGTGACGCTGCCATGTTTGCACTTGATTAAAAGTGGGTGAGACTAGAGACTTTCTTCTAACTTTCCAACCTGTTGCTGGCTGCAGTTGCTGCCCACGTGATTCCACTGCCCAGCCGGGAGGGTTTGGGTTTGTCTGAAGCAGGGGAAAGCTATGTATTTTTATGGCCATTAAACTCTAGCGAGCTTCCCAGATCAACCTGCACAGTGCCCTGCAGAGTGTTCATGTGCTTACGTGAGGGTGCCGAAGCCTTAGAATTATGCTTTGATTTCAGGGACGCACTGCTGCTGTCAGGTCCCTGTTTCATTTTTAAGGAAGACAACATCTTATTTTTTAGATGCCCTGTGTTGACTTGGATGCAGCTGTGTGGGTAGTGGACACAGCTGAGGGACGGGGCTGCTGGTCAAGCACCTCTGCCAGTGTCGGTGGAATGGCTCCCCTCTGCCAGCGGCGGTGTGGCCGGGCTCCTGCTCAGGGTGCTGGTGTGGCAGGGTGGCGTGCACCGTGAATTCCCTCTGGGGCGTGTGGGAGTGCTCATGTGGGTTTCTACCTGGAGATCTGTGGGAGCAGGAAAGCAGAATAAATGGCTTTGCTGAACGCTTCGCAGTCGGGATTGTTCTTGACCGCTGGCACAGACCCTGCGACAACCCAGAGCTTTGGTGGCACAGGGGCTGGGGTCACGCAGCACCTCTCGGTTCCCTCTGCCTCAGGGCTTTGTCTCCTGCCCTGTTCCTTGCTGGACTGTGCCAGGGCGAGAAGCTGGAGGTGAAGGGGAAGGGCAGAGCCCAGAGCTGCTGATGGCAGCTCCTCTCAGCTGGGGGAACCTGGGGCTGAGGGGACTGGCAGGGTGCTGCACTGCTGCAAGCTGTTGTTGGGCTTCAGGCAGGGGCCAGAGGAGAAGCTGTCTGCACTGCTGCAGGTGCCAAAGCTCCTCCCAGGTACTGGCTGTGCGTGGGGTGTTTGTCCTGGCTGTAACGCAGCTGCAGCTGGAGCAGCCAGCGAGGAGCCCAGCTGCACTGAGCCTGCACAGCCACTGCTGTGCATGGCCCTGGTCTCTGCTTGGGGAGGCATTTCAGCTGAGCCTTAGTAAAATCCTCCACCCATCCAGCAGCCCCCTTGCAACAGGGCAGGCTCTGTGGCAGAGGAGCTGCTCCCCCTGCTCCAGCCTCTGGCCCTGCCCTGTCCTCCCCTCTGCCTATCCCAAACTGATCCCTGGCCTGAGGATCCATCCCTTGCCAGCAGGAGCCACCCCCAGCCCTGGTGAAGAGGGCCTGTGGTCACCCTGCATCATGGCAGAGCACAAGGTCAGGTGAAGGTGCTCAAGCAGCCGATTAGAGGCAGGCTCCTGCACAGAGTGACAAACGACTCAGGAGAAGAGGTCTGGTTTAATTGAAGACGTTTAGAGAGAGACTGATGGTGGCAGCACAATGCTCTTCAATAAATAATGGGCTGTGAGGTGGGGAGGTGGCTCACACCTCAGAGGACAGGGTGGCAGAAGGACACACAGACCAGTCACAGCTCCCCTTGGGATGTGCTGAAGTGCTGCAGCAGTGGAGTTGGGTTGCGTAACAGGCAGGATACAAAGTGAAGAAACATCAGTCCCAAGCAATCGGGGAAAAGAGAGAGATTCATTCTGGTCCAGAGAAAGCAAGTGCTGAGGAAAACCAGGGGCTTGAGTTGCTAAAGAAACTCATATAAACCAATAGACATGTTTAAGTAAAAAGTGGATAAGCAAAAAAACCCCCAAAACCAAAAAACAAAACCCAAAAAACCCCAAGACCAAAAAGTGGTAACACAAGTGAGGCTGGAAGGGTGCTTCAGGTCTCCCCTGGGATAGCGCTGTGGCTAGGGTCACAGTAGCCCCTGCTGCTACCTCCCCTGCCAG